TTGTCAGGAATGGAAGTGTTTATTAACTCCATTCAATGAGCTCTTAGTGTGAGGGAAGCAGAAGACTGGAGTCAAATGCAGATACAATTCAGCCCTCTTGTCCTCACTCAGCCAACCCAGCATCTCTTGTGTGTAAGCCTCACCCCATCCAGACACTTGCCCTCCTGTCCTGCTACCTTCCGAATGGCATTCCCATCTCAGAGCGAGGGTCACCAGTCAGTAGTTATCAACTAAGAGGAAATGGATTTGTCTTGTTATAAATTCATTAAATAAAATGGCATCGAAAAGCTTAGGCTTCACAGATGAATGAAGGACATTACAACAATGTGCCAGGCAGGAAAAACTTACTCAGTGTCACTAAGATGAGTGTGACATAAACACTCATGGTGTTTATGTGGGGATCAATGAGGTTCCATGGGGAAAGTGCTCAGGACAGGGCCGGGCATGGAACAGATGATGCACGTGCTGGTTGCTTATACTCTACTAGTATGTTCTGCACCAGAGATGTTAACGGCTGGGATCTACACTGAAGCCACCTGGGCAGCACAGAATTAACCTGACCCAGACAGAGGTCTGGGCTTGCCCTGTGCTCCTGGGACGTCATCCCTAGGCCCCTGGAATGCTCTGCCTGACAGGAGTGCCTTTGTTTGGTCAGAGACAGTCTAAATATGATTTATGATGGGGTCTTAGGGCCATGCAGGATCTGTTCTGCCTCCAGAGGGCTGGAGACTGCAGGTGTCAGACCAGCGTCTGTGAGGCTGGAGACTAAAGGTCAGCCACGCAGGCAGTAGGTGATTGAGCCCCGAAAAAATCTCCGGACAGAGAAGGGCCGCTACGCTTCCCGGGTAGGCAGTACTCCCTGCATGGTGACATGTAACATTGTCGAGAGAGTAGCGCTGTGCGTGACTGCACAGAGAAGACAATGAAAGCTCCACACTTGCTAGTTTTCCTGCCCCTTCCTTTGGCTGATGTTCATCTCTATTTTTTCCTTGTAATAACCCATAACTGGGAGGATAATGGTGTTCAGTGAGTTCTGTGAGTCCTTTTACGAAGTTACCCAACCTCAGGGTGGTCCTGGGAACCCCAAACTTGCCATTGGAGTCAGCAGTGAGGGTGGTCACGTGTGGATGGCCCCTCTGCCTGAGCAGTGGGCTCACTCCTGCATTTCCTTATCACAATAGTGTTAGTTTAACCATCTCCTACGGGGAACCACCCCTTGAGCACAATCCCTTAAGCACAGTGAACCTATTATAACACTTCTGGAAGTGTTCACTGAGGGGCCTACATCTGTGGTGCCAATATTAAAAGATGCCAGGCTTTTTGCTAATGTTTGCATATAATTTCATTTTAAATCTGCTTGCCTCTGGAATGGAGCAGCTGTGGCCAGAGGCTTGGGCAGGATTTGAAGCTCCAGTGGAGGAATGGGGCCCAAAGTGGCCCTCTTCTGGACGGATGTGTGAGCAGGTCCACAGTGTGAGGCAGACCCCTGCCCAAATCCCCAACATAGAAAAAGTGGCCAAAAATAGCTGCAACCTGCCTGGCTATGGCACTTCTGAGCATCAAGCAGACACAGCTGGCCCAAGGCACAAGCAGGGCTGGTCACCCCACCTGCAATGTCATCTGGGCTGAGGCTCCACATATAGTCTAGTTTTGCCCAGGGCCCTGGCTGCATAAGGAAGGCAACATCACAGGTAGGATTATGGCTGTGGGCAGAGGAAGAAAATCCCACTCAATAGGAGCCTGGAAGTAGCAATGCCAAAGCTCACAGGAGCAATTAACGCTGAGACATTTAGCCAACAAACTCAAATCCCGCAAGAAATCAATCTTAAGAAAATGAAAATAAAATGACTATGGAAAAGGTATGTTTAATATGCTTACAGGCATTTTTTTAAAGCATCAATATAAGCAAAATATATGTCATAAAACCAAAAGATGGGCAAAAACAGAAAAAGCAGATACAAAAGAAATTCAACAACAATAAATATGGAGATGACAAAATAAAGTCATCCATTAGGGAGACACTGAGTGAGCAGCCATGGGTGCCTTCTATTGTAGTCTACTCTCATAGGTGCAAAGACATGACAGTGAAAAGAATATCACTGCCCAGGAGTTTATATTTTTGCAGAGGATACAGTCAACAGACAAAAAGAGAGAATATGATTTGAGGTGCTATAAATCCTTGTCAATGCTATGGGAAACTGGAGTAGGCTGAGGTGTTGCCCAATGGGGTGGCATCTGAAGGTCGGGAAATGCTGCTCTGAGACAGGGACCCATGAGGTCAATGAAGATAACACAGGAGCCACGCTGCATGGGGAAGAAGAGCATTCCAGACAGATGGAGGTCCTTATCCTGACAAACTGATTCTATTAAACTACTAATCATAGAGCAAACATTTTATTTCCCGTGAAATTATGGATGTTCTAATTATGTTGACAACAGGTCTGATGCCACTCGAACTATGCTAATCCATTCTGTATCAGGAATCCTGGCTAATACATGTAGACAACACAATGCCTGCAAATAGAGTGAATTCAGGATTTGAAAGGGAGAAAATGTTAATTATCTGGAGATGATGATACTGTCTATATAAATAAACTGAGACCCTCAGACAAATGAACAGAGCTAATAATAAGAGTCCAACATAACAGATCAACATAAAAAGCAGCAGTACCCTTATGCAAAGATATTAAATAGAAAAGGGAATAAGAAAAAAATGCCTTTAATAAAACCACCAAAAAATATAGGTACCTAAGAACAAGTCTAAGGAACATTACTACTGATTTCATGAAGTAAAAAAGTCTCGGAGGGACATAAAAGAAACCCAGAATCATTGGAGAGACATGCCATGTCATTCTATGGAAGGACTAGATACAAAATTATAAAGAACATATCTCTGGATGTTTTTTGTAGTGTCCTTTTATTATTTCCTAGTTGTTAAATATCTTTCAGAGCAAAAAATAGGAAATGCCATATAATTTAAATCCAGATCTTGGTGGAGTTTGCACTGAACATGACAAGCTGATTCTGAAATTCATATAGAAAGTAAGCTAAGAAAAGTCTAAAGAATAGGAAAACAGAAGAACATGCTCTTCCAGAAAGCAGGCTTCTTATAAAGTAACTAGAGGCCTGATGCACGAAGATTCGTGCAAGAATAGGCCTTCCTTCCCCTGGCTGCCAGCACCGGCTTCCTCTGGCACCCGGGACCCAGGCCTTTGCTCTGGCTGCCACCTCCCGCCTTTGCTCCAGGCCCAAGCTGCCCCCTGCCTTCGCTCTGGGTCTGAGCCGCCTCCCACCTGCTCCGGCTGGCTTCGTGGCCGCTGCCCAGAGGCTGGCCCTCGGCAGCCGGCTGGGGCTTGTGGGAAGCTTGGCTTCCTTCATCGCTGGGGTGACGAAGGAAGCCAAGCATCCCACCCGAAGGAAGTCAAGCGTCCTGCCCACTCCGGTGGGCTCCGTGGGTCCAGCTGACGCCGCCATCTGTGTGGCGAAGGGCGCCACCACCTTTGTTGTGGAGTGATGGTTAATTTGCATATTACCCTTTTATTAGTATAGATAGCCTTAAACCAAAGTAGCATTGGTTTGAGGAGAGACCAGTGGGTCCATGCCACAGGCCAGCAAACCAAGGCTCTTAATCCATCTCCTTCTTCTGTTCTGTGTGCGCCAATGTGAAGGTGGGAGGGACCGTGGACCATGTGCACCACTTAAGGCAGGAGGGGAGGCCAGAGAACAGGGTACATGATGAAGAGAGGCAGTGCTGAGACAGGGAAGGCACTGGCCTGGGCATGAAAGTGGGTTCCCATCCTTCCAAAGGTGAGAGTGATAAGGAGACTGACCCCTAAAGCCTCTTCAGGGAACTGCAAGAGAGGAAAGATGCAAGCTCGGATTCTTGTGTCTATTATGACAGTGTTCTTTAGAACCAGAGAGATCAACCTGAATTCACTTACTCCAGTCCTCACCCTTTGCAGAAGAAACTGAGGCCCAAACATGGTGGTGGTTAGCTGAGATCATGGGATAACAGAACCCATTGGAAACCTCATCCTGGGCTCTCTCCACCTAAAGCCCACCCGTGATGCTCTTTCCCTCACCCTGGAACTTGAACCCTTTAGTCTGTTCCCATGTTGAGTCTCCCTTTTCTTTTGGTCTCTACAGTAATTCTCGCTCACTGGTTCTCTGCTCCCACAAATGGTTCTTCCTCTATCCATTCCTGGATCCTATTTCTCTCCTACCCCAACTCTTGAGTCCCCACCAAGTCTGTGATAACCCTGTTGGTGCTTAATTCACTCTCTCTAGGGTGGCTACAGAACCCCATGGCTTCAATGACAAGCTTGAAGCTAGTAACTTGTACATCCATATCTGCAGCCCGGACTTGTCTGTGCTCTGGACCATACACCATCTAATTTAGCAGTCAGCAGGATTCCCCCACGTGGCAGCCCATTAGTCAGAATACACTCTCCTAAAGACAAAACATCCTCCAGTGGAGCCATTTTCTAAGCCGAGAGCATCACTAGGTTCAACACAAAGAACCGTGAGTTTCCTAACAGGTAAGGAAGCAACCTTATTGATATGATGTGTTCATGTTGATACAAAATCAGTATCACAGAAGTCTGTCTGTAAGAACAAAGGTCCAGTGATTGAGAAATAGTTCAAGGGCAACTACTAGTGTTCGAGAATTGGAGGCACAAGGTAAGGCTCCCACCCCAGAGGGATCCTGGAAAAACAGGAAACTCAGAGAAGCAGGAGAAGATGGTGTGAGGTGTAAACCCAGACTTGGCCATCTACAACCAGCGACAAGTGAGACCCAGGCCCGTGCCCTGGCTGCCAGCAGGTCTGATGACTTAAAATGGGCATCGAATGACTTCAGGCATGTCACCATGAAGAGAATTACTTCAAAAGACTTTCTTCTAAAGGTCTCTTATTTGCAGTCCAGGGCCAAATTTACAGAATTAAGTATGTCACCAATCAGAGCACATAAAGAAAATGTAAAAGCCATTTTAACACCTTACCTGGTCCCAGGGAGAGACGGTGCCTCCGAAACACATGAATAGGTAGGCCATGGCCACAAGACAGATCCAGATGACCACAGAGAAGAGGCGGAGCAGCTTCTTAAACACAGACTCGATGCAGGCGAGGATGAATATCGCAAAGAAAATTGCCAGGGCAGTGGGAACTGTTATTAAAAACGCCACGTGGTCTTCCACTTCCTAACAGGAAGAAAAATATTGCAAGGTGCACTTTAGTAAAACTGTGGAAGCGATCATTTATGTTATCAAAATCTCATCGACATTCATCAGTGTCAAAATATATTGGGTTTTAAAAATTATTTCAGAAGTAGAACAGTTTGAACTTTTGAAAATGTAATTTTCCTCTTAAATAGCCATGTTTTTCTATAGAAATATCCCAGTATTCGATATTTAAAGTATGCAAAAGAACTATGTCATCAAAAATAAAATTTCCCTGAAAAAATGGAGAAATGAATTTTATTAAGAAGTGAATGCAAGAATACATAATCCCTGGATAAAATAAGACAACCAACTTGACTGCCTGCATTACAGGATGTAAGAAATGGCCTGACCATAGAAAATGAAGGCTTGCAAAGGATTTGAAATCTTTTATTTTTTAAAATCTAAAAATGATCTCAGTCTCTAAAATGATGAGCTCTTATTTTAATGCATGGTGATTAATGTTTCAACAGGATCATAGGTTAATAGAATAGGGACAGAAAGTGCTAAATATAGAAGATGAGAGAGCGGGAAATACTTCGAAGACTGTGCTGTTTTGCTGGTTTCCTTCCCCACCTCTCTTGGGCTTTAGTAGCAAAAAGAAAATGGGCATTTATTAATAGCCTCTTACTAATTCATGATTTTAGAATCCACATTTACTCAATAATCCTCATTTTCTATACATCTCTTTCTAGCTCCTTCCCAAGGCACACTATTTCAATTCTACACAATTCAACACAATGTAAGAGACAGCATGTTTCCTTTGATTATGCAAGCAAGGGTGTAGGCCTTAGCTTGTGCAAACCACCATGCTGGAACTTGCTAGGAAAAGTGTGTACTCTGGAGAGAACACAGTTCAAGATCTTAAATCCTCATCCAACATGTTTAATTACCAAAATACCCAAAGGACTTTCAATTAAAAAAAAAACACCCTATGGCTGGGACCCTAAGAACTTCCATTGAGGTTTTAGAATTTTTAAAGTTAAAGTAAAAGCTGAGACTTATGGAGCAGCTCCTTGAGCCTAGTGAGCCCCTCCCGTTTTCTGGTTGCTCCCAGGTTCACTCCTCCCATGAAGCTTCACATTAGGTATGTCCCCATCCAGATATCAAGCCATTAACCACGGAGCAGATCAGCCAATTAACCACACAAGTCCAGAGTCCAGATAGACATGGAGGAGGAAGAAAGGCACCCTTGATGACTTTATTTCCCTTTCTTTCTCACAATTATATATGCGTCAAGTGATACCCGGGAACTTGGCAAGTATAACAACCATAGGAAATACTAATAGATTTTCGTGCTAAGCACTCTTACATATAGTAACCTCTTTAATAACTACAACAACCCTATGATGGGGCACTGGTGTTAGCAATACTCTACAGGAGGAAAACCGAGGCACCAAGAATGAAAATGAGTTGCCATGGGTTGAGCAAACAGATGAGGGAGAGAGAACCAGAGCTCAGGACAGGGATCTGGCTGGGGGTCTGTGCCAGTCACCACCGCAGTACTCTGCCCTCTAGCTTTGCAGAGACGATGAGCCGCACCAAGTGGAGCCAGCCCTAGCGTGGCCAAAAGAATGTATGTTTCCAGAACTGGCAGGAGACAAGAGGATTAAATGTGATGTTCTTATTCTCTCCCCCATTGCTATTTTTGTCCATGATTAAGTGTCTAAGTTGTACTCTTCCCCTCAGACACATGTTACAACCATTGCAAAAGGGTATCAGATATCCACCAGGCTGCCAGGGCTCCCCTGCACTCAGACACGGCGAACCAATGTAAGCATGGACATGACAGCATGCCCTCTGGGGATATCAAATTTGAGATTGTGATCGCTACACACATGGAGCTCTGAAAACCTGTTTTATTTTAAACCTCCCTAAATGAGCTTAACTGAGCTATGGGCAGAAAGCTAACTGGGGAATAGCCAGGACAGCTGTTTTCCCAGTACGACTTTTCACTTACTTCATTAACCCAGTAGGGGAGAAACCATCGTGGATTTTATTGCCTCTTATTTCTCCAGAAAGACTGAAAATGGTACAAAAATATGCATAACTGTAAAGTGAAAATTAGTAGGCAAAGGAACTGAAAGATTGTGATAGAGTCCTCCCAGGAAGTGGAGGACATACCTATAGGCACTTTCCCTGCACTTCTCTTAAAAGATCTGTGAACACGACAAAGACCCAATGGCCTATTACATTGGGTACAGTATAGGGCAGAGGTGGGCAACCCCTGGCATGTGTGCCAAACATGGCACACCAGTAACTTTTGCTGGCACGCGAAACCCTCTCTTATAATCTTCCATTTACAATTTTTTTTCTTAATATCGACTTTTTTGTTTTTCAGATAAATTCAGTGTAGGTGCATCTTAGATAAATAAATAATTTTACATAACAAGTTATCTTAAAGACCATAGACATGGATTGACGAGAGAGGGGAAGAGCAATTTCTATGCCTCTGCCTTAACTCTCCCTGCCTTCCTAGATCCAACCAGTGTTTTGGTTTCATCCACATACGGTTGTGAATCTTTGTTCTCAGTGATGAATTTTGTTAAGTCTCGTAATAGGAGTAGCTTGACGGATGAAAGTAGTAGCTCTCGCATATCTCTGAAGGTCACAAAATATAAACCTGATGTAAAATCTCTGTCATCAGTGATGCAGCAGCAAAAGTCCCACTGATAATATCAAACGGAGTCATAAAGTTTTCTGTCGGACTATCAGTGTACATGTATACATTAAAAAATAAATGCATTTTTCATCATCATATACTGTGTTTTTGTCGCTTGAATGAATTTTATTATTTCTTCAAGGTTCTTTACATACGTACACCTTAAGAGATATCAAGTAGGCGTAACACGTTCTCAAAAAATTAGGGTTGGCACGCAGAAGAATTTTGAGTCAGAGATTTTGCTGTTTTTGGCATGCACTCACAAAAAGGTTGCCCACCCCTGGTATAGGGCAATATAGGGTAAGACTTGATATTGTGCTGGCTTGAAACATGGCAGTCTTTGCCTCACTTTTTTTTTTAATGTCAGGGTCTTCATCACTGAGAAGACCTCTGTTAGACACAATGTACCCGGTGCGTAGGTCCCAAAATCTTTTCAAAGACCCATAAAAGTACCTTGATTTCTTGAAAAATTAAAACATCCAAGCTTTTAGGGTCAATGGTTACATACATCTTCATGCTAACACATTTGTAAACTATAATTGTGAACATATTTTTAGGGAGGCAGGAGCATAGGAAAGCCTCTGAGTCACAATGCCATCCTAGGGGCTTGTGTCATACTCCTGCTCACCAGATGCCTGGCATCACCAGGTGAATCCCACACCCCAGAGGACGGCCTTCCTTCAGCTTCGGTGTCCCCCACCTAGGCAGGTGATAGGATTGTGAGATGGCCAACGGCTTCAGATAGTCAGCAGCTGCTCATGAGGCTGTTGCCCTAACCACCGTAAACCCTGAGCCCACAGAGAGACAGGGGCTCTTCTAGAAATAGAACAGCCATCAATTTATTCTTCATTTGCCTTTGAACTCTAACTCTGAGCAAGTTTTAATATAGACTTCTCCACAAAATAGAATCTTTTATAAGAGTGTCAAGGAGAGTATTCATTAAAAAATGTATAAGCTTATAAACTACATTCTTTCCTAGTCTCACTGTTGGCATCATGCATTTTTCTTAAGGCTAAATAAATTGAATAAAGGAATGCCCTCAGACCTTGAATGACACGGCCCTCCTCCCTCTCCTATTCCATTCCCTGTGGACTGAAAGGTGGATGAAGCCACAAGGCACACCCCGTGGCTGTTTTCTTCTGGAGTAGTTGAGTTTTCAAAATTCAGAATACAAAGCAAACAGAGTTACTTAAAATAAAATGAACTAAAACATTGTCAATCTAAATAAATATGTTTATGTACCCTAATCCCTTCTCCCTTCATTCAAAAACTAAATGAAATGTGCTTAATTGCTTTTATTAGTACTAAAATGCCTTTAAAATATGCCTTTAAAAAGATAAAAAATTACCATATAACACATACTGAATGAAATGTATTAAAATGCCTTTAAAAGGGAGATGTCAAGTATAAACTCCTGTAATGATAATAGGTTCCTATTACTCTCTTTGATCATTTTATCCTTTCTTTTTCAATGCATTTTCTGTTACTTTTGGATGGCTTCTAATTGCTAGGCCTATTAAATACCCATTGCTTTTATTTATTACGTGACAGCCTCTTTGTTTCTTAGAGGCTTTTTCATGGATCAAGGGATTATCTGTATTTTCATTCTTTTCCATGTGCATTTTTTGCTTTTTGTTAAACAGAACTATTTTTCATTTAGATAGTAAAGAGCACTGTAATGTAAAACACTGCTTTTCTATAAAAATATATTTAGTGAAGTGCTTTGAAGTCCCAAGACTGCGGGTAGCAACCCATTACTTACTGCTGTGTCTCAGGGGGAGCTCTGAGCCTCTAGCCTACGTTTTCACGTGAACAGCAGTATGAACATTGCATCGCTAGATTCAACTCAATCCCTATCAAAATACCAATAGCATTTTTCATAGAACTAGAACAAATAACCCAAAAAGTTTTTAGAAACACAAAGACCAAGAATAGCCACAACAATCTTGAGGAAGAAGGACAAAGTTGGAGGCATCACACTACCTGATATTAAACTATACTATAAGGCCTATAGTAATTAAAACAGACACATAGATCAATGGAACAAAATAGAGAGCCCAGCCCACTAGTGTTGCTCAATGGTTGTCCGCCCATGAATAAGGAGATCACCGGTTTAATTCCTGGTCCGTGTTTCAGACTCAATCCCCAGTAGGAGGCATGCCAGGGACAGGTGATTGATGTTTCTCTCTCATCAATGTTTCTATCTCTGTATTCCTTTCCCTTCCTCTCTCTCTAAAATCAATAAAAACATATTTTTTAAAAAAGAGAGCCCAGAAATAAACCTACACTTATGTGGACAATTATTATATGACAAAGGAGG